CGCAAAGCACGGAAACGATGTTCTTTAAGGATTCTCATAGAGCCTTTTACAGCAATAGAGTCCTTTGCTTGGAGCAGGCATAGAGACCAATTGCTTTATTTATTTACTAGTAGCAGTAAAAGTTGATAGATTCTCAGAGGCTTTATTCTGCAGCCACTAAGCATCAGGAAATAGCTATCCTAGTCCATTAGCCATCATCTCTTAAACTATCTGTGTACTCTAGAACCTCAACGCAGATGAAAAAGGGAAATAAAAAGTTAGGAGAGGTTTACTTCCTATTATTCAACATATCCAAATCAGGCATTTTTAAAAAGTCAACTTACAATGTGAGTGCCTCACTCTTGCTTCAACCTTCATTTTACATTTTCACAACATTGGACATGTCCTTTAACTTGAATTAAGGTTGATTCTGTAAAGTTAAGTTGTAACTCTTCACTAGTGCTTTCATTTTTTTCTAAACTGTATTAAAAGTCACTTAAGGAATGAATGTAAGCTGAATTGGCTTGTGGGCTTTGTAACATGCATGGTAACCACCTGTTAAAACAATGTTCAAAATGAGCTCCAAGTTTTTTGTGTGTCTCTTAAGGTGATAGGGCTGTGGTTACAATTTTTTTAACACTACCGTTTTTGGGGGGCAGTTTTAAGTTCCAGAAAAATTGAGAGGAGAGTACAGAGGTTTCCCATATGCTCCCTGTCCCCACATGCACAGCCTCCCTGTCAGCACCCAGCCAGAGGAGTACCTTTGTTACAATGACAAGGCTACTCAGACACATCACCACCACTAAAAGTTCACAGTTTACCTAACAGTTCAGTCTTGGGGCTGTACATTCTAATGACATTGGACAAATATATAATGATATGTGTCAACCATTATACTATTATATATAGTATTTTCACTGTCCTAAATTTCCTCTGTGCTGCACCTGTTCATCCCTCCCCCTTCCCTCATTGCCAGGCATTTTTATTGAAAAAGAAATCTAACCTAGAAATACAGTAGACTCTTGAACAATGCCAGGATTAAGAGAGAACAAGACCTCCATGAAGTCGAAAATCTGCATATAACTTTTTACTCCCCCAAAAATTTAACTACTGATCACCTACCATTGACCAGAAGCCTTACCAGTAACAGTCAATTAACAAGTAGTTTATATGTAGTATGTATTACATACTGTATCCAACAATAAAGTTAAAGAAAATGTTTTTCAAGTTGTTATAATCCTCCAAAAATGTTTCCAATATATTATTGAAAAACAATCCACGTATAAGTGGACCCATGCAGTTCAAACCCATGTTGTTCAAGGGTCAGTTGTACTTCAATTTCAATGTAAGGGTAAAATTATAGTTTTATTACATGAGCTATTTAAAATAGCATGGCCATCACTCCTATTTTTGTTAGATTTTTATTAAATTGCTTTCAACATACAGTATCTTTTCTTTCTTAATTACTATATGTACTTCATTGAAATCAATATGTAAGTAGTGGTATTATATCATTACCAATTAATTCACTAATGTCCAAATTGCATACTAATTTATTACATGATAAAGGTAATAATTTTATTGACTTTTAAAACATAAATGTTTGAAATACACAATATATGAACCATTTATTTATAAGCTAATAATTCTGGCTCCTTACAATGATCTGGTTTCCAGTTCTCCTAATGGGCCCATATATATACATATACATATGAAAGCTTTTCATATATATATGAAAGCAAGAATGGTGTGGGGGAGTTAATTACCTGTTCCCGTCCCAGTAAAGTGGTATTCCCATAGTTCCCCACTAGGAAATCTTGGGTTCTTGATTTTATCACTGCTCGGAATCAACAAAGTAGAAAATGCCATGCAACCAGTGTATCTGCTTAACATACCCTGTTGCTTAGAGTTTTTTGTTCATTTGCTTTATTTTAAAACCATATAACTATACCCTGAATATAATGTGCTGGTTCTATCTACTATAGTTACTTTTTAGTGTGTTGACTTCTCTACATCCTCAAGTTAAACTTGTATTTTTCCGAAATCATAGAGATTAGAATATATACAGGAATTTTTATACTAGTAACCACATATGTCAATGATTTTCAAAAGGATAAAAATTCTCTATGTCAATATAATGACATTGTGGTACATTTTAGAGGGCAACAAAATTTTGTTCAAAGAGCACAGTCAACATTATCAGATGTCTCTATGTGAATGCCTACTCACTGAAAGTTTGCCTTTGATTTTATTATTTCTCCATAACTTACATTGAGGAAATTGAGAAAACGAGCCATCAAATGACAGTGTTTCCTGTGTTTACCTCCTCTCACATAATACTTCCCATCCATGCTCCTTACTCCTAAAGGCTTATCACATACAAATATATTTATATATTTGCATTGCATATACTATAAAGTACATTTATTTTTAAATCACTCAATTAAAATATAATGAAGAGTTATATTTTCAAATATTATTCAAAATAGATTTCAAATATAATTCAAAAGAAGATACAGTTCAAACTTTCATTAACAAGTTATTTATAAAAAAATGTTGGTAGGTAAAATGGTCACAAGAAGTAAGGTAAGGATTAATTCTACTATTAATTATGCTGAGGCATTCCAAAGCTTGGTTTTTCCTAAATAAAAGTGGTTATATTTTTGTGGTGAAAAGCACTAAACAGAAGTGCTTCAGTTAAATTGTTTCTGCAAGAAGTAGTTCAGATTTCCTTGCTTTCTTTGCCTTTATATAAACTGAATATGCAAATCAATTACTTAAGATATCAGTGCTGATGCAGAACATTTAGATTCATGCTGTAGACTTATTTCAAGCAATACCCCATAACCGTGGGCTTCCAGCTGAAAATGAACCAAAAAATAAACAACATCTTGAAAGATACAGACAAAAAATTTAGCTAATGACTCCCAAAAAGAGGAAGAAAATATGTAAATCAGCAAAGGAGTGGGTGTTCTAAACAAGGATCTGACACAAGCAGAGTTGAGAAGCCATGTTGTCAGCAAACATTTTCTAATGTTAATAAGCAACAGGTGTTTAAAGGTGAACAAAGATAGCACTTACCTTCTCCATGTCCTGATGAAGTCTTTACAAAAATGCAATTGTCTTACTAAAATGGCAATGCTAAAACCTGATGTTTCTCAAGTAAATCATTAATTTTCCTGTACTGCATGTGCTTTAAACAGATTACTGAAAATATTTCAGTAATCCTTTCCTTAAATTTAACATATAATTCCCATGTATTTTTACCCCCAGAGATCACATAAGAATAACTGAAAACACTAGGGCAATAAAATACCCTATTCCATTTCTGTAAAGGCTGGCTGAATGAATCCTAGAATATTTAATTATTTCAGGCAACTCAGCTGTCCTCAGTAGTTTAAATCAAACACATTTACAAACTGCCCAGGTATAGACTGGTTGCTTTTAATAATTCAGTAAAGTAGTGTGAATATAGTAAGAGGATATTCAAGATTAAAGTATATTTTAGAAAAGACTAATTTATTTTTAAAACGTTTTAAAGCAGCCACCAAGAAATTAAATGTCATAGTGTGATGCATTGTTTAAATACTGAGTAAAGGTTCAAAATGTTTTTTCCAAATGAGGGCAGGAGAAACAGAAATTCTTCCCCAGATTTAGGTATGTCATTCCCTTGCTAGCCTTTCGGATTGTTTTCAATATTAGCACAGACTTGAATAACACAGATGTGTAAAGGGCTTGCTTTTACACGAGTATTCATTTATTAATAATACGATGTTTAAGCTTTGTTAATAGAAAAAACATTTAAGGCGAGGCCCTCCATTAAGTACCACCAGTGTCATTTCACATCCCTGTTAACCTGAGCTACATTCATTTTAAAGTAAAAATCAGCTTTCCTTAGGAATCCCTGTGACAAGACCAGCTGCGTGTCAGGTTAGTCGGTGGGTTTTCCTGGGTTGGGGGCTGGGAAACCAGGAGGAAAGCGGCCTCGGCTGACGTTACTCCCCGAGCAGGGCTCAGCGAGCCGAAGCCCGGCACGCGGATCCGCGCAGTCCCACGGATGGCTGCCGGGCCTCTGGGAGGGCAGGCGGGGGGGCTGGGGGCACACTTGCCAGGGTGACCTCCTCCTGCCGGTGCGAACGCGCGCAGGCCGGGGGAGCCGACCGCAACCGGAGGCGCCAGGGACCAGCCCCTCCCGACGGCACCGCGGGGCCCCCGGCGCCATCTACGGGTGACCCAGGAGCGCCCCTAGCCCCGCAGGTGTCCCGCGGAGGCCGCAGCATTCCGTGCGGAGTCAACGCCGAGCCTCACACCTGATCCCAATGCTGCGGAACCGGGAGCGGTTCCACTTACGCCGACACGGCGGCCAGACCTGCCCTGGGCGAGAGCCGGCGCTGGCGCGTCTTCCATCTTCCCACCTCTCCCTCTACTCCTTAATGGCCCATTAGGATCGCATCGATCCTGGTCACTCTAGCAGCAAGGCATCTAAAGACACATCTGTGTTCACCAGTGCCAGAGACGCCCCAAAGTTGGGGAGGCAGAGGAGGCACTGTGCGGACCTTTGGGGGCCGGCGTGGGGGGCGCAATGGGGATGCGGGGGACGGAGGGACAGTCGAGGGGGGCGTCTCAGTGGAAGAGTGGGGAAGGAGACAGTGGGAAAGTGGGAAGGGGGGCACGGTGGTGACGGGGGGCCAACGTGGGACAGCAAGGACGGGAAAGCTAGGGAGACCTGAACTCCAGTTGGGGGTTGAAGGGGAGCATGGTGGGACAGTGGGGAAGGGGTGCGCTGGGGACGGGTGTGGGGGTGTAGCGGGAAGAGGGGCACTGTGGGAGGCTGGGGGGCTCCCGGACTCCAGCGCAGCCGGCCCGCAGGCCCTCTCGCTTTCACCGGTCCGGAGGGCGCGCCGCGGGGACCGGCACCCCCGGTCCCCCCTCCACCGGCTCCTCCGCGCGCGCCCCCCACCCAGCCCGTCCCCTCTCGGAGCCGCGCGCTCTCGTGCCCGGGAGGGGTGCGTAGCACTTACGTCTCGGAATTTGTTCCACTGCCCGGCGCCCTGGTCGTACTGAGACACGGTGGTGAGCCATTGTCTGTCATCCAGGAAATTCCCTCCGTCCGGCCGCCCGGCGGCCGCAGGCAGCGCCAGAGCCGGGCCGCACCAGGCGGCTGCGCACACACACAGCACCGACACCTGGAGCATCTGCGGGGACACAGGGGCAGTGTCGCACGGGGGACGGGGCCGGGGACCCGGAGGCAGCGCCCACCCCTCAGGCGTTCCCTCCGGCCCGACCCGACCCCCGCGCGCGGACCCGTGGCCCGGGAGGGGAAGCCGCGCGGCCGGAATGATCGCAGCTGCCGCGCGTCACCTCGTGAGCAGCGCCCGGGCTCCCCTGAGGCGCCGCCGGCCGTGCGCGCTGCTCCTGGAGCTGCCCGCGCCGTCCCCGCGCGCCTCCGGCCGGCCCCTGCGGAGCACCACCGCGCGGTCCCCGCACCGGCTCAGGCTCCGGAAGGCAGCGGCCGTGCCCACTCGCGCCGCCCGCGCGCCGCCGCCTCCCGCGGGCCTCCCAGCGCCCGGCGCGCCCCCCGCGCCCACCTCGCGCGCCGCGCTCCCGCCGGCTCAGCCCTGCGCCCGGGTTCAGCCCTCCCCCCAGCGCCCGCCCCTGCCTCGCCGGCGCCCGGCTCAGCCCTCTGGCCCCCAGCCGCACCCCCACCCCCATCCCCAGCGCAGCCCTCCGCCGGCCCCGTTCCCGTGCGCTCGCGCCCGCCTGCACACCTTCCTCTCCAGACCCGCTGCGGCCCCTCCGAAGGCGGCGGCCCCGCGCCCGCGGTCCTCCGCGTCCTGGCCCCGCCGCTCGGAAGCGCTCCTCCCGTCCGCCAGGCGGTCTCAGCCCCTCGGCTCCCGCATGGAACTGAGCGCAGAGCGCGTTCTGGGGCGCCTCCGTCCCGCAGTCCCCGAGCGGACGGTCAGACGCGGGAGGCGAGACCTGGAGAAACTTTACGCGTCGCCGGGCAGCGCTGCCCCGCGCTGGCGTCCCGTAAGCCTCCGGCACCGAGCTCCGCCCCCGGCAGGGCCCTCGGGAGAGTCTGGGAGACGGGTTTCAGGCCCGGAAAGGTGAAGTCTGTTTGCGCGAACTTCTGGCTACCGCGCTGTGCAAACTTCCCTGTGGATGGGTGGAAGCTCTTTCCTGTTCCCTTTTTAAAAAGCGGCTCGTTCCTAGGAGGGAAATTGGAGCACACCTAGAACTCCCACAGGCTGTGGATTACTTTCCTTAATAAAAGCTCGTTGAGAACTGTGTTTTACGTTCTGGATCCTGAATCAAAACTTGAAAAGCCCCATGCTGTCTCCCTATAGCAACTTGAAGACCGTCTTGAGGACCTCACACTGCCTGCATTCCAGACTTCCATTTAAGACAAAATACTTGCCTCTGCATGCTGTCCACATATTCTAAAAAAAAAAAAAAGGCACTGTTAGGAAATCAGGCATTCACCCCCTGGAAACAGAACCTGATGGAGCGAATCTAGGTGAAGTGCCTGGTCAGGAGGCCCCCCGGCCCTGTCCTGCGACCTGGCCCTTCAGCCCCGCTCCCCATTCTCACTTCTACCTCAGATCAAGAAGAAATACTTTCTTCTCAATTCAATGGGTGTATTTTAACACGTTCTAACTTAACACCTCACTCTTTTTTATTTAAATGTAATGAGAAGAGCACCAAAATTGTGCCTTAGATGAAACTGATGCGCAGCAAATCAGTAATTGTTGAAAAACCTAACCTTCGTAACCGGCCTTTAAGAGGAGATGCATGTTCTTTGCTAGAAAATATTTGATGGATCATGATGCTGCCACACTCCCCACCCCTTCAGCATCCCTTATATATTTAGCACGGGAATTGCCATCCACGGCTACAAGATCATCTTTAGATTTATGGAAGCATGTGTATAATTATTTTTATACCTCCATTTATCCCCAAATGAACATATGTCATTGCTGACCCTGATATGTGCATGGAGTGTCTTCACATCTAGCTTTCACTGGCAATATCCCAAAATGCAGCTCCACATGAATTACTACAAGTCGTAAAAATCCGTGGAAGACCATGATGTGACAACAGTACTTGTCTTAGGAGGAAAGCCTCTAATAGTATCAAACTCCAGTTCTGTCAGTAGAGCTGGACTGACTCAAGACAGACTGCAAGCTTGAGCCGCTGCGTGTCAGAAGAGGTAGGTACCTCCAGAAGAGGTAGAAGCCGATGTCCCGTGCATTTGTGCCCGATTGGTGTGGTCCAGCTCACCTCTCACAACTGGCATTCTCCCAGATCCACTGCCATCAGCAAGGCTAAGCTTCTGGGCATGTTAATAGAGATACGAAGTCACTAAATGTGACGGTTTGATGTATTAATCACAGGGAAGTCTCCTCTCAGTTTCTCTATAACTGGGTCTTCAAAGAGCCTACTTTCAAAATTTAAATAATCCTGAGAGAATTCACACTTCGGTTAACACCTTGGTTGTCAGTTAACACCTCAACAGGGATTAATTGAAAGCTTGCTGAGAGGAAAACACAGCAGGTAAGAACAGGAAGAGGGGTGAGAGGTAAGGAGGTAAGACGATGGGAGTCAGAGGGGTGGGAGGGTGTGGGGGGCTGGGGGGTTAAGGACTTCCAAGTCAAGGGTGGTGGGGGCACAGAGTGGAATAATTCACTGGCGGCTGCCCAGTTTTATGGAAAAGCTAAAAAGGCAGACATGGAGAGTGATGTCTGGACCGGACCGGCGGGTAAGATGCCCTCCAGTCACAACAGTAGGTGGCAAGGCAAGTGGTGTTGAGTTTCTGATTGTCCTTTACAGATGGGGACTCACAACAAGACTACTTGAGATCCACAGTCTCTTTTAGGCCACTTCTGTCACCTCATGACAAATAATAATGTATAGACCTTACAAAAAGCCAAAATGAGGGCAACTCTGAGCTAAAACCTTACGATTATATTTGTTTCTTGATGCTTTCAACTCTTCCTGTACTAAACATTAAGTTACTTAATCAGCACATATCTATTGTTGAATATGAACAAGACATTTTGTTAGGATGTTTTTGTATTAAACCCATTCCTTGTCTAGTTCCCCTTTACCCTCATTTTTAGGTTTGTCAAAGTTCTAGAAAGATAAACACTAAACATATAGCAGCAAGAGGTCCATTTCTGACCACCTTTAAGATTGGGATCTATGAAAACCTTAATGGAACTCCTTTTCCTTAAATTCAGACACACACACATGCACATGCACACACACACGCACACACAGTTCTTTCATAGGTTACTTTCTTTCTTGGCTATTATAAAATAGGCTACTCTGTTCTTCCTCCCAACTCTCCTGAGGCTGTATGTAAGAAAGCGCCGAATGATGGCTATCTTCCACTTACCAGGCTCCTAACATACCTGATGACCTTTGTTCTTCAATAACCCCATACAAAGGAGGGATTTTTAGTGTCTATAAAGTTCTCTGGAATGATCCTGCTGCACCGCTTCTCAGTTTTCCCTCTCTGTGTACAAATGTCTGTGTCTGGATCATCTTTATGTTGCCTTCCACTGCCCCTGTATCCTTCTTCCCTCTCCAGTTGTACATTCACTGATGTGGATTCCAGTAGGAGTAGGACTCATCTCTACATAAAGTCAGGGAAAGAGGGGGTGGTTAACTCAGGGAGCTTGCAAAGCTAAGACTAAGAACACTGAGCACCTCAGACCCTGACTCAAATGACCTCATCCTCTCAGCCTCCCATCGCAGCAGCATTAAGCCGGAAATCCAGCAGGCTATCCACCTGCCTGGCTGAGATGGAAATTGACCACTACTACTTCCCTGTCCTTATGCAAAAAATATTGTTTGCCAATCAAGCAAATGTAATTTTCCTTTCCATTATAGCTAGCTGGTGGAAGATAAGGCAAGATGGACATTAGGGGGCTTTGCAAAGTGTGTGAAGCCACCAGAAGCCGTGGTTTAAGGCTAGGTAAGTCATCCTAAAGGCACAATTTGGCCATGCCTAGAAGAGTTCATTATAAGATGAGGAAAACAATACCTAATCTATAAAGTCAACCATTAGCAGGGTGCCTTATGCCAAATCCATCTACCAGCTTGAATTCAGCATACAAAAGAGAAAAACAGTGAAGAAAACCCCTGGGTTTTAAAAATTCAGGATGAAATTAAAGACCTGCCAACACCATCATAAAAACATGTCAAGAAGGAGCATTCTGTGCCTTATTTTGGAACTTTATTTACTGAAACCATCTAAGTCTTATAAATCATCTGTTCCTAATTTAATGAAAGTAGCAGTAATTACTACATTTGCATTAGGGCCATCAAACAAACACATTTTTAAAAATTAGAACACTACACAACAGGTTGTTAGTTGTTTTGACTCAAGCATACTTACAAGATATGAGATACCTAATTTGATAGATGGGTCCTCTTGTGATTTTAGCTTAATCTAAAGCATTCAGTAAACCAACTTAAAAGTTGTAATAAATATGAGAAATATATCAATCAGTTCAATTACTATAATTCTTACAAAGGCGTTTTTCAACATTTATACCAAAAAGTGAATCTGATTAAATTAATTGATCATTAAATAGATGGCACTAGAAAACTGGCCAATAAGGTAATTACAATGTTTCTACTTTATATTGAGATAATATGTCTTGACTGTTTCTAAAAAAAAATTTTTTTTTAATTTTAATGAATACTATTTATAAATATATAAATTATATTGACAGGTACAGGGTATTAACATAAAAACTGATAAAATAAGATATATAAGAAAATTTAAACTCTACACATGCACAGAAATATACACATTCTTACACTAAAGTTACTAAATTTAAAAGTTTGTAAGTCAAAAAGACTTTTTAAAATACCTCTGTCCTTAAGATTAATATGTTTTAAAAAAATTTGTTTGACCTGCAGATTTATTAACTTAGTAACCATCATATAAGAATGCATGTGGATGACTTTATTCTTTGACTCAGAATGTTATTTGGCCTGGTAGAGTATTATGTTCACAAATGACTGTAGACAGAGTTTCTAAATCAAGATGTACAAAGAAACTTTTATGTTTGTCTTTGTGAATTGTTGTTCGGTTACTTGTTTTCAGCTGACCAGTGAAAAACCAGCTTCATATATCATTCTCTATTAAATTATTATAGGTTAACTATTTTCAGAGAATAAATCCTATCCCAAGTGATATTACAAATCCTTTGACACTTAATTCTGTCCCTTGGATAAATGAGGAGTTCTCACCCTGTGAACTGGTTGTACTAAAAAAACAGAGGAAGCTTGACCATTTGATCAATAAATATGAGAGATGCCCTCTAAAAAAAAAAACAGAGGAAGCTTATAATTACTGTCCATACTTACCTCAAGAATCCTGGATTCTATGGGATTGCTGAAAGTAAAGAAAATATCTAACTAGAAATTACACAAGAGTGTGAAATAATTCACAGATAACACAAGTTTTTCCTCTCACAGTTATAAAGCTCTTCTGCTATTTATTTTAAAAGTATTTGTTGATTGTTCTCTAAATAGGCTTGAAATGGGATAAAAATATGAACAAGCTGCTACATGATCCCATGACACAGAAAGCACACAGTCATATTTGAGGAGAAAAATCACAATAAATTAATAACTCAAGTATGATGAGTGTAAAGATAGGGATTATGTAAACAGGCTTCTTGCTGAACTAATGCCAGGACGCTGCAATGTGAACTGATTGCCACATATAAGTGAAAAGCTTAGAGAGAAGCCTGATCTCAGACAAACAGCTTGAACAAAAACTACTGAAGACTATTTTTCTCCATCACGAGCTAGCTCAATCATAGGAAACTCCATCCCAGCAAACTCAAGTGTGTTCACAGAGTTAAGAACTGGCCAGGCACTCAGACATTTCACACTCCTGAACCAGAGGTGTAGGAAAAGGAAGGGATTCTCTTCCTACAGTCATGAATGAGAGAGGAGAGTGCCCCCCGACTTGAAGGCCTCTACAGTCCCTCTTTGAATCACAGTTTTGAATATATATTATATCACATATATTGCGATATAATAAGTCATAAGAAATACATATTTGGTCATTCATATGACCAAATATGTATTTCCCAGGTGTATTTGGTCTTCATCCACAGTTCCTGAAAACGCTGCAGAGTCTTAAAGGTGGTATGGGTGTTTTGTCATGT